TCAAAAAATTAAAAAATCAAATAGACCATCTATTATGCCATTGTTCAGTGGCTAAAACAGTGTGGAATTGGAATAGTTTTCTTCTCAGAATTATTTATTTATTTATTTATTTGTTTTTTTGATGAAACGAAAAGGAAAATCAGATCTCTTTGATGACACGAAAAGAGACTATTAAGTACTCTCTATGTATATATTTTTTGTGGACAGTCAATGGACACTGGATAGTATAAGCTCTATTTTTCAAATGGTCCCACTCCGTTTTGAGCTGGCCTAGGGACCCTTTTATACAAATGGGGACAAGAGTGGAGTCACGATTTTGGTTTGGGGGCACAATGTTAAGGGAAAAAAACTAAAAATTAATAGATAATTTTAAAAACTAATAATTTTAGGGAGGCATTAATTTAAAATTTTCATATATTTATGCGCGCGTGCCACACACACACACACACATATATATTACTATATATACTTAATGGGTAGGGCAGGCCAGCCAAGGGGGCAAGTGACCCCGAACAAACACTGGCTTCGCCCCATTATGTGGGGATGTGGATGGAGGTAGTTTTTGAAAACCTGGCCGGGCAAGGGCGTATCTAGGTGGTAGGATTGGTGGGCTCAAGCTGGCCCGCCCGTCCAAAATAAGTAAGAAAAAAAAATACTATAGGCAATTTTAGCCCCCAAAAAAAAAAAAAAAAATTTATTACTAGTATTAATTTACCAAAAAATTTTTTAGCTCACTCTATTAACAATTTCTGGATCCGACCTTGCGGCCGGAGCAAGGCGGGGTTGGGGGCAAGGTAAACCCTCCCAGCCCCGTTTATAGTGTATAAGTTTACAAAATACCCTTAGATATTTATTATAGTAAGTATACATATAATATGTGGCAACAACTTCAACATTTAGCTGGTTATGGGGGCAAGACGGGGCGTGAAAATTTATGCGAGAATGGAGGTGGGATAGGGGTGGAAGTGAAAATTTATGCGAGATAGGGGTGGAATAGGAGTGGAAGTGAAAATTTATGCGAGAATAGGGAGGGGGAATGAAATCCCCGCCCCACCCCATTGCCATCCTACTGACCCTAGACATAGCTTAAATAATGAGAGTGTATTTACTTGAACTTGTAGGGAGAAAATATCCCGTTTGTAATCGTGTGTCGAATTTTTATTAGGCCACGTTACCTACTAATAGTTCAACCATCAACATTTTTGTTTAGATGCATACTCACATTTTAACATATGTCCAAACACACAAAAAGGAATTAAGGTGTCATGGCTAAAATTAAAAATTATCACCTATTTGTGGACATATGGATGTCCATACGTAGATAGAATTTCTTAAAAGTCTCGTGCTTCGTTATTCAAGTCAGTCTCCAATATATTATTATATTATATGTGTTTAATTACAGTTTGTAATTGTGTTTTAATACTGTTTTTAAAAATCTCTGATATAAATTGTGACATATAACAATTTCAAATCTCAATTTGTCATGTGAAAAACACAAGGAAAACATTTAATTATTGGTTTTCAAAAGACAAATACTAACAAAGTAAATTTAATAATTTGAAGAAAAAGCTTATATATCATAGAAGTTGAATATATATATATATATATATATATATTTGTCAAAGAAAAAAAAGTCTATTAACAGCATTATATCTTTAAGTCACACAGATTGAAATCGAGAGCAAATTAAAAAGTGAAAGTGCACGTCCATTAAGAAGAATTATGTATTTTATATGCCTCAATACTTTTTACAGTGTTACAATAATTACCTAATCGTATCCTGATGTTAGCTGTTTTTCTATTTTCAAGTTGCACTGTTCAACCTATTCATGAATATTGTGACACTACCAAAGTGACTATTATATCCTCGAATGCTATAGGGTAAAATATAATAAACTCTCTTGAAGTATTAGAGTTTTGCGAGAAATCTTCTGAACCATCAGCTTCGTGCATCCAAAAATATACCAGACCAATTTAACCTTATAAAAAGGACGTAGTTTCAAACTTAGTATATATAAGTTGGTGACATGGAAAGTAAAATCTCAATAACCAATTATATTGTGACAACACACCAAGAAATAAGGCTCACTTTTTGTTGTCCTTGTACCCTTCTTCTTGTTCTGTTTCAGTAGAGTAAGAAGAGTTCTTAAAGATCCATGTACGGTACAAATCATTCATTTGTTCATACGTACGTGTATATAAATATATGTGTTTGTATATTTTTGATAAATTCTTTTCATATATATGCCATAAGACCGACGAACCACCATCTTTCTATTCCGACATTTTTTTCTGACAATTTCTTTCTATGTAAATTTTTGGTTTCGCCTTTGTTCGACCAACCACCAATCCATTCCATCTTTGCCAATTTGAGAAATCCGAAACATCTGAGATCAATAACAACAAATCAGAGAAGGGTTCTGACGGCGCAGACGTTCCAAAATGCGTGTTGTAAGATGATGTGAGAGGTTGAAGTTGTTCCAAATTTTCAATTGGTAATCAAGATATATATATATATATATATATATATATATATATATATATATAGTTGAAGGAGTATCAGTCTCTGTATTTGTCATGATCAATTTCATTGTGGATTGGTTGAGCAGAATGAAAGGTATTAGGGTTTTGAGTGTTGGCTTTGCGAAAGGATTATGTGGATTTGCAATTTTCTGACAGAAATTCGAGGGAATATTTTCTGTGTCAAAGGATTATGTGGGTCATCTGATGAAGGAACAACATACGTGTGTGTGTGTGTGTGTGTATATATATATATATATTGAGAGAGAAAAGTGGGTTATAAGGGATTTTGGGGAAATCTAAAATTTTAAAAAAGGGTACCATTCTCGTTTCATCTTTAGAAGGTCAATATGGTCCTTTAATTTCAAGATACTTGTTTTAATGATGAGATATGACCCACGATTAGCCTGATGGAATTATCTGTAACAAAATTACGTAATTTAGGAATTAGTTGTAATTTTTGTAATTTAAGGAGCAAGTTGCTGATTCAGCAATACTTCAGAGATTTTTTTACAATTTACCCAATACTATAATATTATATAAAGATATAATGATCGAAATTTCATGTAAAATGCTGGTTAAAAGTTAAATACTGGGTTAGCTTTCTTTTGACTAATTCATCCATCATCTTTGACACGTGTAATTTTGTTTTATAATAGTAGTATTATTTTATTTTGTTTTTAGTAAAAGGATAACAGGATCAAAACCAAAACTCAGTTAAAAATGAATTGGATATTTAGTTCACTAAAAGAATACTAAAACTAAAAATTAAGTTAATAATATTGAGATCAATTTTAAAGATAAGTTTAATGACACACTTTAAAAGTTAGGAATGACAACTGGCGTTGGAGTCACTCAAATTTTTTGGTTAATTATTTGTGGAGGGGGCGATATGTACATCTGTCAATGGAGTGGATCTTGATCTGGATCCAATTTGAATCCGATCCAATTAGTTAGATATGAATTAAATAAAAAATTTGATAATTCGTTAACTTAACAAATCGGATAGGATTATGCTGGTCTGATTCGTTAATAATTCGATCGGATTAAAATTATATATATATATATATATATAATTATTTTATCAATAATTTTACATATCTATATATATATCAATACTCCTTCTAAAATTGTATTAGAGGTAAACCAAAAATTCAAAAAATAATAATGTTATATATACAATAGTGTGGTGTTCTTATCAACATGCTAATAAATTTCTCAATATACATACTAATAATATCACTCTTTATTCATTAACAAAGAATAAATAATTTACAATATATTATATATCAATGTTATATATGTTAGTTATATATTACTAAATATATATATATTAATTATTTATCATTATATTCATTTGGTTACATAGTTATATTATGTAACATTTTGTATATTAGCAATTCTCCGCTTCATCTAATTTTATAATTATATATATATTAGTAAATATGATTTTAATCCGAATCCAGATTCGATTCGATCCGAGTCCGAGTTAAATAGGATATGGAGTGGGACATTCAGTTCGAGAACTCGTTAGTGATCCGAATCCAATAATTCATTTGCTTAACAAATCGAATATGGATTTGATCGATCCGATCCGTTGACTGGCCTAACAATATGTACAATTTAGAAGTAACAATATTTGACACAACACCCTTTTTTGACGAACACGATACGAGATAAAAGGGATTTGGGTTTGGGTTTGGGCTAATAGTGTTCATGTCGACATGGATTAATCCCCTAACTAAATGTGTCATGTTTGTGTTTGATCATATAAACACTATTATGACATGATTAATCTGGTTAACTAAATGTGTCGTGTTCGTATAAAAAATGACCAATTTAGTTAAACGTTTAGAATAAATACGTTGTGTTCGTGTAAAAAACGACTTAAATGTGTCTTTTCGTGTCGTGTCAAGTCTTAGTCCATTTATTAAATAGGTTACGTGTCACGTCATGTTACATATGTAATAATCGTATCGTGTTCGTATTTAAAGTCTTAGACACGATTAATAATCGTGTTGTGTTATTGTCGACTTTAATCGTGTTCGTATCGTACTCACGAATTGCCATCCATATTTAGCTGGTAGTGATTCGGTTTCATTGACAATATGACAAAATATATTAATAACAAATTAATTAATTGTAAATCTTTCTAGGGCCTTGTTTAGTAGCTGTTTTTCATTTCATATTTATAGTTAATAACTTAATAATTGTGCGCAAAATTTTACTATTCGCTTACGATTGGGTAAAACTAGATTGAGAGAGCGCGACTTAGATCGTGTTGTCAGTGTAATTATGTAGAGCAGTACCCATAAAATCAACGGTCTTGACTTTCTTAGATAAAAAGTGATATACTACGACTGATGATATCTAAAGGGAGACGATTTGTATGATAACTGCGATGGTACCGTTAACACCTAATCAGACCCAAAAATAAACTATTATTAGAAACATTATAGGTATTGAATTGTGTAATTCAAGTCCCAGCTTCACATTCGCGTCTCTCTCTCCTCTCTCTCTCTCTCTTCCCCCTCTCTGCTAGGGTTTCAGAGCGCCGCTTTTCCTCTTTCCAATCAGAGAGTGTGGTTTCGAAGGCGTTTTTCACTCATCAACATCAAGTTTCAGGTAATTTTTTCGTCATTCTACTAAAGCCCTCTATTTATTGCTCAATATTTTTATTATTTATTATATCTATTTAAATTTCATACAACGATTTGGATGTTCGATCCGTGCTTATATTGATCTGATTTTCTCTCTTCTCTGTTAAAATTTCTAACTTTGACCCGTGTTTCGCCGAAGAAAGGGTAATCAACGGTTTCGTTATTCAAGTTTGTTATCTTGCAAATGTAATTTTGCATATTGGTGTATAAATATTAGCGGATCGGCGGTTTTAATCAGTATCTTTGTGGAAATATGAACTGTTCAAGTTCAAATGGGTTGATCCCGTTGGGATTTGTGATAATATATTTGGGGTTTTTTGATGGATCGGTTTGATTTTTTTTTTTTTAACTGAAATGTCTAAGATATTTATTGGGCATGATTTTTAATCTTTAATTGTTCACCTAATGAATTTTGGCTGTTGATTCAATTGTATTTTCGAATGCTCTTGTAGCTTCTACATTTATATGTTGTCAAAAATTGGATGTTGGTTTGATTGTTTGATAGGCAATTCTCTATCTGTTATGATATGTGGTAATTTGATTTTTTTAGAGTTGTTTATTATTGATTTGATTACTGTATTGTTTTCCCCGATAAGGTATAATTGTATTGTTTTCCCCGAAAAGGTAGAACTGTGCTGTTTTCCCTTCCCAAACATGTTTGAGGATTATACTAAAAGGAATGGCTGCTTGGATATAGCGATTTACATACAAGTGCTCCCTCCCTCCCTCCTTTTTTTCTTTTTGCTTTCCTCTACTGTGGCTATGTTCTCATTTGCTCCGTAGTTAATTTGGTTTTGTTAGACTTATTGGTCTGCACTGCTTAAATTCTCAATGAATATCTAATTAAGAAAGATTGCTGAATATAATACTTCAGGCATTAAAACAACATGAACTATGATCTTTAGATATTTTGTTTACCTTTTCTTTCCTACAGTTCTCCCTGCTCTAGCATTTTCTTTTTCTTTGTTTACTACTAGGCAGGTGGGAGGGGTGGGGATGTTTGTTTGGGTAGGTTGTTCCTGAATTTAAACACCTGCCTTTTTTGCCTTTTTCATACAGTTGTTTATTATAATATTTGGAATGGGTTTTTTTTTTTTGGTGGTGTATATCTAACATGTTTTTGGGATTATGTATGCCTTATTCAATCAGATTCAATATGGCGATGGAAGTCACTCAGGTGCTTCTAAATGCACAAGCAGTTGATGGAACTGTGCGGAAGCATGCTGAAGAAAGTTTGAAACAGTTTCAGGAGCAAAACCTACCAGGTTTCCTACTATCTCTATCTGGAGAGCTTGCTAACAATGAAAAGCCTGTAGATAGTCGTAAATTAGCAGGTTTGATCCTGAAGAATGCCTTGGATGCCAAGGAGCAACATAGGAAGTTTGAGCTTGTTCAAAGATGGCTGTCACTGGATGCGGCTGTGAAGACTCAGATCAGGACTTGCTTGCTACAGACCCTCTCTTCTCCTGTGCCTGATGCCCGGTCAACTGCATCACAAGTCATTGCAAAGGTAGCAGGCATTGAGCTGCCACAGAAACAGTGGCCTGAGTTGATAGGATCACTTTTATCAAACATTCACCAGCTTCCAGTTCATGTCAAGCAAGCCACTCTAGAAACTCTTGGGTATTTGTGTGAAGAAGTTTCTCCAGATGTTGTAGATCAAGATCACGTAAATAAAATACTGACAGCTGTGGTTCAAGGTATGAATGCAACTGAAAGGAACAATGATGTTAGGCTGGCTGCTACCCGAGCATTGTATAATGCTCTTGGCTTTGCTCAAGCGAATTTTACGAATGATATGGAGCGTGACTACATCATGAGAGTTGTCTGTGAGGCGACTCTATCCCCAGAAGTGAAGATTCGGCAGGCAGCTTTTGAGTGTTTGGTCTCTATCTCTTCAACATACTACGAAAAATTAGCTCCTTACATCCAGGACATTTTTAATATCACAGCAAAGGCTGTGAGAGAAGATGAGGAGCCTGTCGCTCTTCAAGCTATAGAATTCTGGAGCTCAATCTGTGATGAGGAAATAGATATATTAGAAGAATATGGGGGTGATTTCACCGGGGACTCTGATGTTCCCTGCTTTTATTTTATCAAGCAAGCGCTTCCTGCACTTGTTCCTATGCTGTTGGAGACACTTCTTAAGCAAGAGGAGGATCAAGATCAGGATGAAGGGGCTTGGAATCTTGCGATGGCTGGTGGCACTTGCCTTGGTCTGGTTGCACGAACAGTAGGAGATGATATTGTACCACTTGTTATGCCATTCATTGAAGAAAACATAACAAAACCTGATTGGAGACAGAGGGAAGGAGCCACTTATGCTTTTGGTTCCATCTTGGAGGGTCCTTCGCCAGACAAGTTAACACCTATTGTTAACGTTGCTCTAAACTTTATGCTTACTGCCTTAACAAAGGACCCAAATAACCATGTGAAGGACACTACCGCTTGGACCCTTGGAAGAATATTCGAATTCCTTCATGGTTCTACTATAGAGACACCCATAATTACCCAGACGAACTGCCAACAGATTGTCACTGTTCTCCTTCAGAGCATGAAGGATGTTCCGAATGTTGCTGAGAAGGCCTGTGGAGCGCTCTATTTTCTTGCGCAGGGTTATGAAGATGTGGGCTCATCATCTCCCCTAACTCCTTATTTCCAGGAAATTGTTCAGTCCCTTCTTACGGTTACTCACAGGGAAGATGCTGGGGAGTCGCGATTAAGGACTGCTGCATATGAGACTCTGAATGAAGTTGTGAGGTGCTCAACAGATGAAACCGCTCCTATGGTGTTGCAATTAGTTCCTGTCATAATGACGGAGCTTCACCAGACTCTTGAGGCACAAAAGCTTTCTTCTGATGAGAGAGAGAAACAAAATGAATTACAAGGCCTTCTTTGTGGGTGCTTACAGGTTATTATTCAAAAGCTAGGAGCATCGGAACCAACCAAGTATGTCTTCATGCAGTATGCAGATCAGATCATGAATCTCTTCCTCAGGGTTTTTGCTTGTAGAAATGCCACTGTGCATGAGGAGGCAATGCTTGCCATTGGAGCCCTTGCCTATGCAACTGGCCCAGATTTTGCAAAATACATGCCAGAGTTCTACAAGTATTTGGAAATGGGTCTTCAGAATTTTGAGGAGTACCAAGTGTGTACTGTTACAGTTGGTGTTGTGGGGGATATATGCAGGGCGTTGGAGGATAAGATTCTGCCGTACTGTGATGGGATTATGACACAGCTTCTTAAAGATTTGTCGAGCAACCAGTTGCACCGATCTGTCAAACCTCCCATCTTTTCATGCTTTGGGGACATAGCTCTGGCAATAGGTGAGAATTTCGAGAAGTACTTGATGTATTCCATGCCCATGCTCCAGAGTGCGGCAGAGTTGTCTGCCCACACATCAGGTGCCGATGATGAACTCACTGAGTACATCAATCTTCTGAGAAACGGTATCTTGGAGGCATATTCTGGGATATTTCAAGGCTTCAAGAATTCTCCTAAGACCCAGCTCTTGATTCCGTACGCACCTCACATCCTCCAGTTCCTGGATAGCATATACATGAAAAAAGACATGTGAGTTCTTACCATTTTGCACCTTGTTGCTGTAAAGCTTGGTTTTGATTGTCTTTGATTTAGTTGGTATCTTTCATCTAAAATTTTTAACTTTCTTATCTATTTATTCGCAGGGATGATGTGGTGATGAAAACTGCCATTGGGCTACTTGGAGATTTAGCAGATACACTGGGAAGTAATGCAGGTTCTTTGATTCAGCAATCTCTGTCAAGCAAAGACTTTTTAAATGAATGTTTGTCCTCAGATGATCATTTGGTTAAGGAATCTGCTGAATGGGCCAAGTTGGCCATTAGCCGTGCCATTTCTGTTTGAGGCTGCTGCCACTTGGTATATATTTTTCCTTTTAGAAGTCCCTGCATGCATATGGGTGTGTCGAGTTGGGTTCGGGATTGCATACATCGTGTCAGGTCATCACCACCATTGTCAGACAACAGAAGTGATCTTCAAGTTGTCGCTAACTCTTGCATCAGCACCACCATGGGTCGGGGTTCTTTTCTTTTGCGACGGAGGAAGCGCGTAGTGACGGCTTCTCAGAAATTGGTCAAAGCCTTGAAAAAAAGAAATAATATCATTGTTAATGATGGAGGACAGACAGGGTAGGGAGGGAGGGAGATGCAATTGTGATAAAATCCGAATTAGGCTGCTGGGTAATTGGTTCTCTGTCGGTCCTCTTGATTGGAATCATCGTTACAAGAGTTACCCCATGCCACCCTTGCGATGCCATCTTCTCCGACTGGGTTAAGGTGTTGGAATGGATTACTATCAAGAGTTGGTTCAGATGTCTTGACACTTCAAAACAACTTTATTACGGTTAATACGCGTATTGCATTGTTTCAAGTCATCGTCGTCTTGTCGATCAGAGTCATGTTGCACATCATTTTGTTCATTTGTATACCCGTGGATTTGGGGATTACCCACATTCTATTTTCAGCATTACATCCTGCATACTCATATTTCATTTTCCCAGTTGTTAGCTTTTCCTAGGTGTCATGAGTCACATGTTCAATACATTGCATTCACGAAATCATAATATCTGCCTTTTTAGCCTTTTCATTTTCATTTTCATTTTCATTTTCTTTTATTTATATAAATTGGAATGTTAAATCAAATTTTGATTCTCTATCAGAAAAAAGTGTTGCTTTATATTAAAATGTCACAAATATGATGAAACATTGAAAGGACTGAAAGGATTTCAAGTTTCACTTGTTGTGAAAGGCTTTATAATCTTGTGGATTTTTTTGTGAATTTGGAATTATTTATTTTCTTCTTTCCGCCATTTTAGTCGATGAATGTAAATGTGTATTAGTTCTACGTAGTTGCTATGACACCTTTTGGGAACCTAAGGATGATGTACTTCCTTGTGGGCCTATTTTATAGAATTTTCATTCTTTTTTATTTATTTTATTTTGCAAGGCATTGGCCTCGAGATTCTTGGCCTTGGGTTAGATGACATGTTTCTTCATGCCTGAACATGTCACAAATGCCAATCTTGATAAATGAATGTCAGAAATATATAAAAATAAAAGACAATGCTTTGGTTATCACACTGTCGAAGACTTGAATATTGTTTTGGAATAAATAAATAAATAAAAATTATGAGAAATTAGGTGATTAGAAGTTTTATCATTTTCTCTTCTTTCTTTCATATTTTCATCTAATCAAATGAAAATGATCAGACCCGTTCTGAATAAGTCCAAACGAACAAAATGTTAGAACTTAGTGTCAAAAATTCCATTTATGGGCTGGCTCTCACCAAGAATTCGAGTGCAAAATCAAAGATAAGCATCAACGTAAGATCACTAATTCATTGTCAAATATCATACCATCAATTACGTCCAATTTGATGCCCCCAAACCTATATATATATATATATATATAACACTTCCTCAAATTGTTTAGGGACACTAACTTTATTCTTCAAATTATGACGTTGAAAAAGGGTTTGATGTATAAAAATCCCACCACCAAATTTGGCGAATGATAATGTCATTCAATGTTTCTCCACCGCAAGCCAAATACACATAATTTTCTCCCAAATACCTTTCAACCACACCATTTTATCTTTTCTTAAACACGTCGGCAAAAACTTTTCACTCGCATAGAGTCTGACATAATCCACACACAGTAAAAAATATTGCTCAACCATCCATAAATCTTATGTCGGCACACTATCGTATTTAAAAATTCTGACCACATTCATTTTCGATTTCAGACCCTTTGTTGATGCTAATTCCAAAAGCACAAACTCGACAGTCAGGAGAAATATCACTTCCACTATGTACAATGTTTTTTCAAATTGCTCTATTATTGTAGTTGAACGATCCACCATCACTACAACCCAAAACACTTTACCATATAATATAAAAAAAAATAATTTTAAAATTGCATTTGGTAGCACCGAATTAGTCTTTTGGATTTCGAATTAGAGGAAATACCACCTATTCGATTATCACAAACATAACATTAATGTAGAATTACTTTATAACCAGATAAGTGGACATTCCAGAAGTATTATGTCTTTTCTAAAATGATATAAATTTTCTAGCTTGAATTTTAAATCAAAATCATATTTTATTCTATTTTCTTGTTTCCTCCAAATTAAAAACCGTTACACATTATGTTTACAAGAATTCTGCTTTCACAAATTTGTGCGTTATCTTTATACAAGACAATCACATCTTTTTTAAAAGGAGGAGGGTTATGTTCGGTAACTTACAAATGTACAAACGCACAAACTTTTTGTGAGAAGAAATTTGAAATTTTCTATCACTAAAATGGAATAAAAGGTGAGAGACTTTGGCATTCATTTCTACATATTGTGAGTAGACCTACCAAGAAAATGAATGTACTCTATGAATTAGTCCAAAACGTCGTACAGAGAAGGTGCTCTGAACTTTCTTGATAGGACTTCCACGATCTATAGTGGAAGTAGATCACTTCTCATTTTTTTTTTTTGCCCTTTTTAGGAATTCATTCTTTCATGTGCAAAATTTTGAGGTTTCTCCTTAACCATACAATGCCATAATCTATTGATACACACACATATGTGTGTGAGTGTGTATATATATAGATATATATATATATATATATAGAGAGAGAGAGAGAGAGAGAGAGAGTATAGTAAGCATCCAAAATGAATAGCATGTACCATGTGGAGCAGTTGCATAGTGACTTTGGCAATACCCTTATCTCTTTCATTCCTGCATTTTGCAAAGTCCAAAAATGGTGACAATCTAATGCAACCACCATATGTTGATTTCCTTGGCTCCACTAGACTCCAATGTTTACCAAATCTTGATACCTAGATTGGCTAAATATCGTACAATATCAAGTATGTTTTGCAGTCATTGTATCGGTCACGGAATCGTAGTGTAACAGATTTAGATGAATATCGGTATAAATCAACCAATAACGGCTAACTATGATATCACACCCATGCCCAAGTGCATATTTACGCACTTGAAATAAAAAATTCGAGTACAAAAATAATCATTTTATGCAAATAATTCTAAAGATTAGATCTGTAGTCAGTCCATCCCTCTTAAGTATTCTTGATTATATAACTTTTAAATTCGAACAATTATATTTATTTTTTCAGTCATTGCATATGGCACGTGTCACGAGTCTACAAATTTGTGTAACATGGCATGTTATAATGTCTCCCGACAACCTTAGAACCATTGTGGAATACAGAGTTTTAGGCTAATTATCAATTTATCGTATCTTTCACTTGCAAAGGACAGACTAATTTAAACCTTTTTGTCCTAATGAATGATTAAAACAGAATTAGTGCTTGTGAGTCCAAAAGTGTCCTGTTGCCTACCTTTTGCTAGTGCTCCCACTAATGGCTCACCAAAATTCAACCCTCTGAATACTTCCCATTCATATCATCTGCAGGCCACTCTCCATTTTTGTCTCCCCTCTATTGATTTAGTAAGTGATGAAAGCCGAAATATGAGGATCAAAGGGCACCACACTTTAAGGTGCTGTTTGGTATCACAGGAAAAAAGAAAAAATAAAAAAAGAAAAAGAAAAAGGATTTGGAGACGTGTGTGTGTGTGTGTGGAACTCTCACTACCCTCATGGTCGGAGCACAAGAATGTTGGTAATCCATTGGATGAAGTTCCATGATACAAACCCCAAACTAAAGGATTAAGCCGACTGTCTCGATATCGTGTAGAACTCTTTTCCGGTATACATTAATGTTGCGTTTGGTAGCACTAAATCAGCTAAATTAAATTTATTCCAACTCTAAATCCAAAGCTCCAATTTGGTGCTCTCAAACATAACATAAGGTTTATATAACGCATTTGCATATTATGCATCACTTCACATTGATAAGACCACCCAACTCGCAAACTTACCCAATATTGCCTCAATAGTGACTTGAACCGTCAACCTTCGGAGAAACCACTTGAGCTAAAGACTTGTGATCATGATCTTATCTACTATTAAAAAAAAAAAGGAGATCAAAATATTAGAAAAACTTATTGATACTTTACAAGAGTTAGTGCCATTAAGAATAAACGTATTCATCGCTCAATTCGCAAACTTACCCAATATTGCCCTAATAGGAACTTGAACTGTCAACCATGTTGGAGGAGGAGGAAAAACCATTTGAGCTAAAGACTCGTGATCATTATCTTATTTACCATTGAAACAAAAGAGATCAAAATATTAAAAAAAATTCATTGATACTTAACAAGAGTTAGTGCCACTAAGCCATATTTGTTAATGTGGAATTATTTTCTAGTATACATTATTGTTGCATTTGGGAGCTAGCACTCAATCTGCTAAACTAAATTTCCTCCAACTCCAAATCTAAGGCGTCAATTAGGTGCTCCCAAACATAACATAAGGTTTATACAGCGCATTTACATGTTATGCATCACCTCACCTTGGTAAGACTGTCAACTTTCAGAGAAGCCACTTGAGCTAAAGACTCGTGATCAATATCTTATTTACCATTGCAACAAAAGGAGATCAAAATATTTAAAAAACTAATTGATACTTAACAAGAGTTAGTGCCACTAAGAATAAACGTATTCATCACATGTTATACATCACTTCAGGTTGACACGAGAGACATGCACCTAACTCACAAACTTACCCAATATGAACTTGAACCATCCATATTGGAGGAGGAGGAAGAGGAGAAACCACTTGTGCTTAAGGCTCGTGGTCATTATCTTATTTACCATTAAAATAAAAGAAGAACAAAATATCAAAATATTGATTGATACTTAACAAGATTTAGTGCCATAAGCCATATACAATAGTGTTGAACTGAACTAAAATAAATTTAGTTTAGTTATTTCAGTGCATTTGGGAGTACTGAAATAACTAAACTAAATTTCCTCTACTCCAAACATAGCATAAGGTTTATACGACACATTCATCGCAAGTTATGCATCACTTTACATTGATAAGACGCATACCCAACTTGCAAACTTGCCCAATATTGCACAAATAGTGACTTGAATTATAAGCTAAAGACTCGTGATCATTATCTTATTTACCATTAAAATAAAAGGAGAACAAAATATTAGAAAATTTGATTGATACTTAAAGAGTTAGTGCCACTCAGCCATGTATGTTACAGAGAACAAAACCACTTGAGCTTGTTTGGATTGTAATTACTGATACTTAACAAAAGTTGGTGCCACTAAGCCATATTTGTTAATGTGGAATTATTTTCTAGTATACATTATTTTTGCGTTTGGGAGCTAGTACTCAATTGGCTAAACTAAATTTCCTTCAACTCCAAATCTAAGGCGTCAATTAGGTGCTCCCAAACATAAGGTTTATACAACGCATTTACATGTTATGCATCACCTCACATTGGTAAGACTATCAACCTTCAGAGAAAACACTTGAGCTAAAGACTCATGATCATTATCTTATTTACCATTGCAACAAAAGGAGATCAAAATATTTAAAAAACTAATTGATACTTAACAAGAGTTAGTGCCACTAAGAATAAACGTATTCATCACATGTTATGCATCAGTTCAGGTTGATATGACACACACCTAACTCACAAACTTACCCAATATTGCCCCAGTAGGGACTTGAACTGTCCATATTAGAGGAGGAGGAGAAACCATTTGTGCTTAAGGCTCGTAGTCATTATCTTATTTATCATTAAAATAAAAGAAGAACAAAATATTAAAATATTGATTGATACTTAACAAGAGTTGGTACCACGAGCCATATACGATAGTGTGGAACTCTTTTCTTGTATACATTATTGTTAATGTATGTTGCATTTGGGAGCACTGAAATAACTAAACTTAATATCCTCTAACTCCAAACATAGCATAAGGTTTATGCAACACATTCATCACAAGTTATGCATCACTTTACATTGATAAGACTCATACCCAACTCGCAAACTTACCCAATATTGCACCAATAGTGACTTGAACTATCAACCTTCGGAGAAACCAGTTGAGCTGAAGACTCGTGATCATTATCTTATTTACCACTAAAATAAAAGGAGAACAAAATATTAGAAAATTTGATTGATACTTAAAGAGTTAGTGCCACTTGGCCATATATGTTAGTGTGGAACTCTTTTCCAATATACATTAATGTTGCATTTGGGAGCACTGAATCGATTAAACTAAATTTCCTCCGATTCCAAATCCAAAACATTGATTAGGTACTCCCAAACATAGAATAAGGTCTGTACAACGCATTCATTGCAAGTTATTATGCTTCACTCACATTGATAAGACACACACCCAACTCGCAAACTTACACCAATAGTGACTTGAACTATCAACCTTTGAAGAAATCATTTGAGCTAAAGACTCCTGATCATTATCTTATTTACCATTGAAACAAAAGAAGATAAAAAAAACTAGAAAAATTGATTGATACTTAACAAGAGTTAGTGCCACTGAGCCATAAATGTTAGTGTGTGTGGGTGTGGGGTGGGAAGAAAAGCAGGTTGACTTATAAAAAAAGGTGAAAACAAACCAAAAGGCCAAGCTGAAAATGGCAGAGTTTGAGCCATGCAAGGGACTGATAGGGGGGGGTGTCCACATGCATACAATTGCTTGCAATTTTTGATGTAACATATAATTAGTGCAGTTGACTTCCTGGTTGTGGCTTATAGGTAATGCATCTCTCATCATCATTGTGTAGCTATTGGGTGGGTGCACCATGACTACAGCTCTTGTGCCACTTTCCTTGCCCCTGAGCAAAGATAAAAGCAGCCCCTCCTAGCTCCCTCCCCACCCATTCTAAATCCACACCTACCTTACATTCTTTCTGATCACAGTGATTGCTTTGCAACAAGGTGAGCCATGGCTCTTAGGATCAAGGCCACTCTACTAGTTCTCTTACTACTCACTTGCATATCTTCGGGTAAGCGTGCTACTTCTCAATATTATCCAAAATTGAGTACTTTCAAATGTTTATCAAGCAATTCTTGTTTTCTGTCCTCTAGGCATAGTTGAAGGCTTCAGTGATCGCGTGAAACCTACTCACTCACTCCTCAAGGTAGTATCATGCACTATAAATTAAATTGACATGATAGCAGACTCATATAATGTAAAAGTATATTATTGTACCAGTAATAGAACTACTATGGTAGTAGCATTACATAATGCATAATGATAAATTGTTTACTAATTGTTTAATAATGTTTATGTGAAGGATGGCGGTGTCCAAATGAATTCAAGAAAGCTGCTTAATTCAATGTTAGATTATGACTATGCTGGAGCAAATTCTAAGCATGACCCCAAGAAGGGGAAACCTGGTGGGGGTAATGGCAAGAGCCCCTGACTCATCCTGCAGGTTCAACCTGAACTAAATAACGAAAACTATGCTAAAGAGGTTTTTGATAATGTATGAGAAGATGTGAGAAAGAACTTGTGTGTGTTTATCTAATATTGCTAGTATTGTGGAAGCCCTGTTGTGGGCATAGAGATGCCATAAAAGCTTATTCAGGATAGTATTTCAGATGTTATCTATGTACTTATTTAGCTATTGCTTTACTTATAAAAGGTAATAATAAATAAAGTTTCTGTCACTTAATAAGATATGCAGTTGAATGAGGAAAACAAATTAAAAAAAAACGAACAACATTAATATAAAACAAATGCATTGAAGATACAAAGTGAAAGAATTGACCAAGGATATGCTGATCAAGTAATCACAATAATTCAACAAGGCACTGTAATAGTGGTGAGCCATGCTCGAGTTAAGAGTTATAAGCTTATGAAACATTTTTCATATGTGACAATTATTAACTTTAGCTTGTTTGGATCGTACTAATGTACTTTATCTTAAATAAATGTTGTCTATTTGCAATCAAAACAAAGTTTGAGACACACAAAAACACTTTTGGTATATGCTTCAGAGGGCCCACAGAACAAAAAAGATGATGGTTGATGACTATATGTGCAACATTCAGAATCAGTAAGATATTAAGATCACTGCAGCATAAACAGGGAAATTAAAGGTTCTTCACTGTCAAGTTCCATGCCTTTTTGGGGGCTAACATATATAGGTGTTTTGCATATGCTTAAAGAGAGACACCCCCCACCAACAAAAAGAAAAAGAAAAAGAAGGAAGCTTTGCCAAAATGAAGTTTGACAATTTTGTTTCTTTATTTTTCACATCTTCTTTCAAGATTTTCATCATATGATCACACTATCTGTCACCAATTTTCTTTGAGAAATGATGTTTCAGAACACCAACCTTTTTTTTTTAAAAAAAAAAAAAAAAAAAAAAAAAAAAACCAATAACACCAACTTATTTATTGACCTCTGAATCAGGTATGACTATGAGCATATATAGATGGTATATAGATATGACCAATAGATCAGGGTGATTTGCCAAACCCCACTCATCAAATCCACCTAATAACAATAAAAGATTGTTAATATATATAGTGTCTGATAGATTGATACTCCCTAGTGGCTTTTTCCCAACTACAGAGATTAATTTTTGTCACTACTTGTAATACCCTTTTAAACACAAAGAGCTAGTTTCTTCAGCAACAGAAATTTCCTGGGTTGAATAAGACTAAAGTTCCCTTCGGCCTCAAACTTCTTATCAGAAAAACTTGAGAAACTCGACTACTCCCAAAATTTTCATGGAGGCCTTTAAGGGGATCTTCATCATTATTTTATTTCCTTTTCATTTTTAAAGTCTTCACATAATCTTAATTGCTCAATTTATTTCCTAGGAAAGAAAATCAAGCTATACACCGTTAATTGACATCTCCAAACCATATGTGATGGAGATCAAGGCACAACCCAAGAGCTAGAACCGCATATGAGCTGTACTTACAAGTAGAGAAGGGGAATAGATAAATGCAATTAAGAATTGATGAAAATTATGATTTTTCTGAATTATGCATATTATAATTTTTTGGTAATGTTTAGTTTTAGGGTTATTTTCGTATTTTCCTATTTTTCGGGTTCCTAAGGTTTATTATGATCTTGCCTATATAAAGACTGTAATGTAATTAAAATATTTTGCTTTGATTATTGAATATTATTATGAGTTAGAGAATTTTCTGTGTGTCTTCTTCTCCCTCTTTGTTCTTGCTTTTCTCAACCCTTAAGTATTTCTAGCCTGTCTTTTGGATTTGTCTTCTTACCCCCTTTGTCTGTCTTCTCATCTCCTTCTTCTAGCCTCATCTGATCTTCTCATTCTCATTCTCATTCTCCTCTTTCATTGTGGTTCTAAATCAATATCGTACATCAATATGTTCCTCAGAGTACTCATAAATCTGTCACAGTTCACCTGCATGAATAAAGGTTTTTTTTTGCTTATCTATGCATCCAGTAGAATATTAGAAAAGCTTCCTTCATTGTTTCTCAACTGATATAGCTGCACATACCAGCCTAAGATTGTGCTACCGTTAATGATGACATAAAGAATTTTGAAATTTAAGGTGGCCAGAATATATATATATATATATATTTTAAATGGGATTTGATATTTCTTTAATGTTTAGAAAATTGTTTACTAATATCATCTGTCCTAATATATATACAAATACCAAAATATTTAATCATATTCATAGGGCTCCCGTCCCACTCCACCTCTCTGCTCATGCATACAATGGCACCACTACATAGTACATACTAAAAGAACAAATAAAATGACAAATGAAAGACATGTATATCAACCACAAGCAAATCTATTCCTGGAATACTGGGAGTACTGAATTTTTAAGGTGTGTAATATTTAATTAGATAGCACCAACTGTGGGACATGTACATTTACAACTTATATAAACAACTCTCTGTTGATTTATATACAACATATCATGCTTCAAACTATAAAGAAAGTAACATCCATATTCCAAATGACACAATACCAACAGTCGCAAAAGCTTGGCCAAGTTCATACAAAACATTTTGTTGCTGCAGAGGCAAACTTTGCCAGTCGGTCCGCCTGTGGACAAGTAAAAAACAAGACCAGACAAAAAGGTTAATATCAATCGAATAGAAGTGCATCACTCACTTATCAATAAAGTAGAAAGAAAAATTCAAAGATGCAGAATAGTTTGACGACTTTTGGGAACATTATGCTCCAATAATTTTCTGTACCACCCATATTCATATCCATGTTCTTAGCGGGCAAATGGAAGTCACATCTATGGCAGAAGCCTAGCTTCTCCACAGTAGTTCTTTCTTTTGCTTTACCTAAATTCTAACAAACTAGGAGCATATCCTAACAACTTTCAATAGAATTTCTTAAAATAAGCCCATATTTAGTAATGAACTCAAGTTGTGAAAGACTTTGGTGATGGTTGCATTGAGCAATGCAACTGGAAACATACATACATGCACAGATACATATACATACATATATATATATATATATATAAAGATATATATATATATATATATATAACAATAAATTCGGAAAAAAAAAATGTAGTAATAACTTTAGTCAATTAGAAGTCAGAAGCAAACATGTTCAGTCAACTCAACTTGGTTTTCAGTACTAAGTAAACAAATACATACCCTAAATCAGCAATGATGATGCTGACATTATCTTGTGAGCCCCGATCCTGTAATATATAAATTTGAAAGTTGTTAGAACAGGCAAATCATACAAATACCAGCAGGTACAGAAGGATTAATTTTTATTAAAAAATATTGCAACCCCTTACCAGAGCTGCTCGTGCAAGTGCCTCACAAGCTAACTGAAACCAGAACAAAGAAGAAGTTAAAACTGTGGTTAAAACTGTCTGTTGTGCAACCAATTTATCAGTAGACGGCACACTGTTACCTGAGCATCTCCGTGTTGTCGAAGTTGATTCCTAACAAAATCAACCACACCTGAGCTGAAACAATAGCAAAGCAAACCCGATTAAATGATACTCTTCTGGTGATTGAACTACCACAGAAAGATGATATATACAACTGCAAAACTAATTTACAAAGTTTACATTACAACAAGGTAAATGGTAACAAACAGACCTGCTCATGTAATCCCATAAGCCATCAGATGCTAATAGTGCAAACTCTGCATCTGATCCGAGTGCTACTTGATAAACATCAGGAGATGCAGTAACTAAGTCTCCGTTAAATTGTATCCTAGCATGAATAAAATGTGTATTATAGACAAAGCATTCTGATAGGCTTCAAATTTATTAATTTGATAGAGAAATTCTATAAACATATCCCTTCATTAATTTAACATTTCAGTTTGGTGCCAACAAATAGGGCACTATAATCATTTCATATCAATATAGTATACATGGAAGAATAACTGACAGTGAAACCAAGCAGTTTGCCATTTATCATCAACAAATGCTAATCATAAGCAAGGTTGCAAACAGTTGATAACCAAGTGGACACTCAAGTCTAAAACCAGCCCAAGACAATGGTCATAACGATAGAAGTAGGCATAATTATTCTATAGAAGTAGGCATAATTAGGCATATAGCTGATTAAGTAAATAACTACAATGTAAATCATCAATCAAAAGTCCCTCCCCGTGTTTAAATCATTACAACTGTCAGTATCACAATTAGGCAAGGCCATGCAAACTTACAAGAGATAACTTCACAAGGGCCACCTCGTGTAAACATGAGATTAAAAAAGGTAGATAAGAAATACTCAATATGTGTGAGATAGCCTACCGAGAAATAAATTTTTCAGTCCATCTCCCTTCCTTGACTCCCTTCTCCAGCATCCTTTTCTTGTGTAGAACAGCAAAAATCATTAGTCGATGTACATAGTAATAGCTAGTTGTCAAAAATTATTAAGTAGTACTAAGGCTTTAGAAGAAGAAAAAAGTGAGAACATACTCAATCTTTTTTGTCTTAAACCGCATGTCACCAAAAGCACGTGATACAGAGATGTCTCCACAAATTCTTCCATTGACAATCTATGAACACGGTACATAAAAATCATCATTAGTCATCTGGAATCGATTGAATACAAAAAAATCCAGGTGGATCAAGTGCAGATATATTTGTAGGTTTTGGAAGTAGAGTAAGTTTTGTGATCTCAAAATATTTGGAACATGGCATTGATTAACTGGATTACTAGAACGGAACCTAATTACTTCCTTCTAGAAACAGATAGCCAATGCAAAGGAAGAAAATAAAATGGAATTAAGAACAGAAAAACACACCCATCCACCTGCTTCTCTGATTCGTCTGATTTCTTGAAGTGAAACCTTGTTGCTTCCATAGGGTCGATGAGGATTGGTTAATATCTCTGCCTTCCCAGATTGTGAGAGAACCTGCATCAACAAGTTGGCCAATAAGACAGTGAAATATTTTGAATCTGAAGGACATTATTTCAGTGTTTGATGAAAATGCAGTTTCTGTTACAAAAAGAAGCTAATCAATCATGAACGTGTAACAAGTGCAACGATTGTAAACGTACCACACTTGAGTCACCAACATGTGAGATGATCAGCATATCATTTCTGATGAACACTGCAGTAGCGGTTGAACCAGATTCATCTTCCTCCTTGCTCAACTCAAGCCTTTACCAAATGAAACAACATCTAAACCTTATCAAATTAAGACTATATAACATATTCATGTAAGACAAGATAATTTATTTCCACTGAAAAGAAATATCCCCACCGGTTTAACAGTTTTGCATCTGCATTTTGAAAAGCCTCTTGTAACGCCTTTTTAATGGCATTTAAGTCCTTTCCTCTCAACAGCATCCCACCTTGTAAAGCCGTAATACACTCTTTGTAAAGCTCATCCCTGTGGTTGTCTTATCAAATCATATAGTACAAGGAATACAATAAATCTGAAATACTCAAATAAGTTTTGCTAAAAAAAATTTGGTGCCACTTACAGTAAGTAAGTTAACTAATAATCAATAAGTAACTTTCTCTAAATAGTGAATACACTATACATACGCATCAACGAAAATCCATTTGAACTGCTTTGCAGAACAATATGAATAATTCCACTCTACCTAAAGGCCACCCGAGTTAATTCCACACATGCTTAATAAAATTTTGTAAATAAACCCTCATATTCACACATTTAACAAAGGACGTGTTTGACATGTCATGAAAACTTAACAATAGCTCCATTTTCTTTCAGGCAGCACTAGAGAACATCCTTGAATGTGGCATATAAGAAATGGAAGCCATAATTCCACTCCATATGTAATGACATGTTCTCAATTTAAAACTTTTTGAGTAGGTTTCGAGGGAAAACCCCTATGAGTTCTGTAGTTCACTCCACATATTCTTAATAAAAACAGTTAGGTAATCAAAAAGGGGAATGGCAAAATTGATATCTTTACTTATAATGGTATTCACTGTGAAGTTGTGGCCCGAATTTTGTTTCGGTCCAGGTTGCAATGGTGAATGGACTGAAACTTTTTGACCCATTTCGTCTTGCGGTTCATGGACCCAGAATCTAGTTTTTGTTGCAATCCAATATTCAAGGGTGCTAGGGTCTGGCATGGGTATGAGAGAACACTAAAAGCTGAAATAAAGAGTGAGAGAGACGAAGGGTTGGGCCTCGTGAAGGAACTTGTGATCTCCATTTTTCCTTGCATAGTAAAATCTCTTCACCAATTTTCAACATGGATGTAGGCTATACACCGAATCACATAAAATATTTGTGCACTGAGTAGGGCATTACCTAGTGGCTTAGTTGGTAGAGCGCCTAGCTCCCCAAGCAGACGTGCCCGTGTTCGAGTACCCCTCCCACTAGTTTGTCAGGATAAAAATAAAAAATAAAAATTGTGTACTATTGTGGTGCATGGTTTATGTTTTCCGCCGTTTCTTAATTGTGTTCTTGCTTTTGCGTTGTTTGTCTTACAACCACTTCCAGACATGTCCCATTTTGTGATGACGGATTTATGGCTAAACATATAGAAGAACCAATTTGGGCAAAAATTCTCTAAAAAAAAAACAAAGCCCTAATTAATTGATGTTTTCAACTCAATATTTAAAGGAAAACTACAAATACATGTCAAATTATGTACTACCCAGAAGACAGTAATCATGTAACATTAAATCAAACAGTACATATGCATAAATATATAAATATAGAATTATATGTAATCACATGTGCATATATGAATACGAATATTGTGGTTTATAAGTGACTGAATCACCCAAACATTCCCTAATTTTATTGATGATTTCAAGTCAATATTCCAAAGAAAACTATATATACATATAATATTAAGCGCTACCCAGAAGACAATAATCATGTAAGATGTAATATTAAAATCAAACAGTACATATGCATGCATATACAACTATAGAATTATATGTAATCACGTATGCATACAAATATTGTGATTTAGAAGTGACTGAATCTCATGTTCAAGTACCTGAGGAACTTGACTGAGGAAAAGCCAGCGTGGCCATCAAAAACCGCGGCAAATGTGAAACCATCAAGATCATCAGACTGAACAATAACAGCATCATCTTCCATCTCTTCTCGGAGACCCTGTAATTGGGTCGATCCCCATCTGATCCCCGTGACCCCGGTCAGCGACGACGGCGCATCGATGGCGATAGCCGAGCAACATCGGCCACCTCTTCCACTTTTGGCAATGATGTTCTTCTTGGCGGGCTTAATATTCCCGGTGTTGGTCTCTGTTCTGTTGAGGAGAAACCTCTGCAACTGTGGGCTCGTCAACGCCATTAATGGAGTTGATGAGCAGCAGAGAGAGGGAGGGGGAGTTGGACTGTTGTAGTTTGAAGCAGTGAAAGTGGAATTGGAAGTGTTTGATGAAAATGGTTTGTTGAATGTTTTGGGAAGGATAAGAGAGAGTGAACTTAGACCTCTAACTGCTTTAACGGTTTAGATTTCAAGATTTGTCCACGTGGTTTAATCTTAGTGGGTATGCAATGCGAGTGGTCGGTCCCACTTAGACAAATTTATTTAATTTTTTTTTTTTTTCACACTTGGACAAAATTGAGATTTGACCTTTGGAATGAGATTTTGTGTGTGTGATGTATTAGGGGTCTATTGGATCATTGAATCTTTATTATAGAAATAAATAAATAAAAAGTGAATAGAATAAATAGAGGGAGAGAGAGGTAGAAAAGGAGAAAACAATGACAGTGAAACATTTTGATAATATATAAATATTATACATTGTAGTATTAAATAAAATGTTCACAATATTTTATATATTATGTTTTGTCGGATCAAATTAATCATAATTTATACTCAAATTATCTAAATGTTCAATTCATATACAAGTTAGTTGTCGTGCAATCCACAGCGTCGTATGATCCTTTCACTACAAACTCATTGTATAAGAAAGGAAAATAATGTATTGCAATAGTAATACTCCTTCATCTTTCACTCCTTTTTTTTCCTATAAAATAATTTTAATATTATCAATAAAAAATAATAAAATTCAATTAACAAGGGAAAATTTAGAATTTAAAATTTGTAAAATAATGACGTCAGCAAAAAAAAATTTGTTGGAATTTCCAAAATGTTACATTCTCGAATCTAATTATGAAAGTGATACATTTTCGAATATAATTATGACCAACTTTAGAGAAGGTTAATGTAATTTAGCCTTTTCTGTTTTTTTCTTTAAACTAAACTTGAATAATCTTCCACTTATTTTCCTATTATTTCTTTTCTTTTTTTCAATTCCCTTGATCCACCAGACATGTTGGTTGGCAAATCAATCCAACCTCAATATTTATTTCATGCAAATACTTTTTCAAAAAAAGCTAGAAAGCTTTTTTTTCTCCAACCACCTGGGTTGGCTACATGAATGTTATGTTTCTATTCCAATCAGAAAAAAAAAAAAAAAAAAATAGTTTTACATTACAAAATTATACATGACCTTTCAAAGTTCTTCTCTTAGATATCCAGGACCAGGCTTGAAGGGGTCAGCTTCCAAGTATGCCTCTGGGCGATAAAACCCAGCATCATTTATACGATTGCTCAGCACATGAAGGATGGCTTTCTTTGCACCATACTCGTCTCTATTGTTCTCGACATATTCTTTTGCCTCGGCTGCCACTTCATTCACAAAATCAAATCGGTTATCCTCCGACAGCAATAGTCTGTGTATATCCATGGTCAAGAGCTTTCCCCCGTCCCTTATCTTCCTCACCTGCTCCTCAAGGAAAGGAACCCGTTCCAATTTGTACTGCAGCATGTCATCCTTCTTCGTCTGAAACAAAGACAAGTGCATGAGTGCTTTACAGTTATCGCGTGCATGATCATTGAAATAGGAGGTTCTGCCTCCCAAGATCAGAGACAGCATGAAAGACATGTTGCAAAATGATTAGCTTTTATAACACAATTCATGTGGGATTTCAGGAGCATTAGGGCAAAAAGATATTCTGAAATTCCGAAATAATGTCCAAGTTTCTGAAGAAGGGTATGAAGCACAAATATGAAGTTCAGTAATTTGAAAGTCGTCCACATACACTAAAAATGTCCTAATTTTTTGCTGAATTACCATTAAAATCCAAATACTTCTAAAATGACAGCATATGCTCTTTTTACCAATGTTTTCCTTCCAACCTCTTGGTTCCAAAGTACATTCACACCCAATGATTCTGGCGGTCACAGTTGATCAAATTTTGTTAACTAATAAGCTAAAGATTGGGCAACATGAAACAGTAACTTCATGAATAATCCCAACAATCAAGAAATCTATTATACAAGAGAACAATGTACTGGACTATTTGCAACACATCGATATTTTAGCTCTCATAAGCTCCTGGACTTCCTAGTTCCAGACACGTATTGTAGATGTCAAATACCGAGACGACCAACACTATCAAATGATGTCAAATAGCTCCAAGGAGACCAAATTCCATGAACAAGTGGATCAACCGCTTCCCCATCCACGAAATCACTACCACCACCACCACCACAACAACAATAATAATAAAAGTAAAAATTGGGAAGTGCCTCCCAATGTAACATATAAATTGAAAAGCATGCTCTACCAATTCCTGCCCCCCACACCATCACCAAAAAGTAGAAAAAGTGAATAAAACATGAGCAAGCAATACGATCTATGAGTGGTAGTCTTATGACCCCAAAAAAATATATATGAGCATGCATCAGCCTCGATGAGCGGAAGCATTCAATGATCTAGAATTTAATGATAAACAACAAATTACTTTTATATGATGAAATTAAATAGGGTGAGTATCTTCCATAGTAAGTCAGTTACAAATTTTTTTCTCCTCTTTATAAATACTCCAAACTATCCTCACTCTCACAAAGAACTAGCAAAATATTAATTACTGTGTTTTACAATATTAATTTAGCTAGAAAAAAAAAAAAAAAAAGAAAAAGAAAAAGAAAAAAAGAAAGTTGTTTGAGGTTCCAAAAACCAGAATCAGCTATACACATTAGCAACAACAATAGATTAGGGCCATTAGGCTACCCCAAACTTTAAACAATATTGCAGCAATTCCCTAACCCAACTACTTGAGGTGGACAATGTGAACCGTGTTTTCCAGTCATTTTTATGCAGATTTCAGTATGTCTATTTTGCGTACAGAACAGATAACTTTCACTGTAATTTTCTGCCTCCAGTCCCTTACAATAGACTTTCTAATTTGTGTTCACTTCCCACTAGCACTTATATTAACAGATATGACATCCAACACTCTGTATTGTTATCGCATTTCACCTATTTACACTACTATTAAACTCCAAATCTATACAGCTTTTCCCCAATCAGCACATCTCTTGATTTTTCTACATGAAAGCATTTCTTGATTCAACCTAAATGACTTGAAAACCAAGACAAGAAAGACGAACTACAAATTTACTTCATATTCTCTGTCCTTCTAAACCTCCTAGTAATAGTGGGACATGCTTCCAAAGCAGATAACTAGCAAAAATGAAAAGAAATTGATAGAACCAGTTTATCAACTAATTACGGAAAACTGTCAGGTCATAGGTAAGCCATAGATCTCCTTTCTAGAGATCGGGCTGAAGCCATGCATCTCTAGTTTCTACATTGACTTTGTTGCAGACTTGCAGTTTTTTCTTCTAATTATTGATTTCTTGAACTTTGGGGATTGAGAGATGGAGCTATAACATTAATATCACACCATTTCATATATTTCTTCAATTTTTAGTCCCTCTTGTTTTGACGTAAAACAACAACAATCAAGCCTTTTTCCCAACTACTTGAGGTTGGCTACATGAATCCTATGTTTCCATTCCGCTCTATTGACGGCCATGGCCTCGGTCAATCCACGTAATATCATATCCTTCCTTACTAACTCTACCCTTGTTAACTTTGGTCTTTCTCTTCCACTAGTATTACCCTAAAAATTTCAAAACTTTGGTTGCATGTTAAATATTTCACAAAAATTTAGAAGAAAATGCATATAGCTTGCAAAACCTGAAAATAACTTGGTACTTTTTTTTTCTTTTTTTTTCCTGTAAATCATCTTTCAAAGATGCACTTGGAATTGATATGCTCAAACAAAAAACATGTATTTATATAGACACATGTTTGTATAAACATATACATATACACACACATATACACACATAAGGCATATACATGTCTCCCTACAATTTTATATACAAATTTATACACATGCATATATAGAACCATTTATGTACACTATGTCACTATATATATTTTCTTCTATGGACAAATATATGCCAATGTGTATATTCTCCTTCACATACACGCTTGTATAACAGTCTATCATACATTTTCTAACTAGTAAGTTATTTTTAAATTTTAAACCAAACGCATGAAAGATAATGAAAAAACTATTTATTTCATCTAAAATTTTTTCCACTGAAAAAAATTCTTGGGTGTAACACTTTTCACACAAAAATGAATAGAGCATATTCTCAAAACTATCATTCATAATTTCAAATAATTTTTTGTTAAATGCTACCTTGTCAACATTATAAATGTGATCTCCTTTTTTTCTTTAAAATGTTCTGTTATTAGCAAATCTACTTCTATTTAAAGTACTCTTTTTTTTTGGGGGTAACAAAGAATCGATCCACCAGCGAGCTATTTAGAAAACAATCTATCTCCTATCTGCCAAAATTAGAGTTAGGACCTCAAGATGGATAATTCACTTGATTTTGGCCACTGAATTATAGAATTATTATTTGTTCTTAAAATAGAAAACATTATCCCCAAACAAATCCTTACAAAGAACACCAACAATTTTCAATTTGATTGCTAATGTATGAGGTCAACAATATTGTCACCAATCAATTAAACTAACGTGAAAAAACAAGCCACTCCAATACTATGAAATTAGGGTTTCTGGCCACTAAATTACAGAAGTATTAGTTATAAAAATTAAAAACATTATCCCCTAACAAATCCTTACAAAGAACACCAACTCTTTTCAATTTGATTATTGAGGTGAACAATATTGTCATCAATTAATTATAACAACACTTGAAAACAAGCCAACCAATACTATGAAATTAGGGTTTCTTATACCAATTTTCTTCGCCTCCATACTCGCCGTCGACCATGAAGATCACCATTTTGCGACTGTGACCTCTTCTGTAGATAAATTAATCAGAAAAATTAATATACATACATATATACACACTACAAAAAGATATATCAGCTCAGAGAAAACTAAGATTTGTAACCTGTGACCTAATAGAGACGATTGAACTCCATGAATTCTCAGCTTTCACTTCAATCCTCTGCACCAAAAGATGGATATAATAGTTACAAGAAAACAATGAAATAAACTAGGGTTTCAAACATTAATAAAATATTCAAATTTTGCCAGCCGACAAACAATCTTGTTGAGAATGAAAAATGAAGAAGTTGAGCTTTCGAATGTAAAACGTTTCAGTTTCGATCATAGGAACTCAAAGGTTCAAGATTTCATTTCATGGCGATGTTTGTTTTCCCATAATTTTCTCGGCAACCAAACAGGGGTTTTAGGAGGAAAGCAGTTACAGGTGAATGCAAAGGAAATGAGCAGCTGGTCAGAGTCGTCAAAGCCATTGCTGCGTTCATTTGTCCTTCAAACTGTAACGTCTGAGCTATTCCTTTATCCAAATTCGTTCACTTTTCTTCCCAAAATATCCGCAGTGCGATGCGAGAATTACGTGAATGCCACTGTATTTTGAGCTTTCGACCGAGTTCATGTGATAGTAAGGGCGTGTTGGTGCTACAAAAGATAAAAGTAAAAAAAAAGGGCATGTTTGATGTTAACGAAGCACTGGCACGGACACGAATATGAATATGAATACGAATACGAATATAAATATGAATATAAAATATGAATTAAGATACGGATACAACACGACACGGATAGGGTTATACGATAAATTTCAAAAAAATAAGACACGAACAAGACGGAGATACGCCTATAAAATAATATATATATATATATATATATATATATATATATATATATTCAAAATATAATTAGTAGAACCTTGCACGTTCATTTTCTTAATAACAAATACATATATATAAATACAAAATTGTAAATAAAACAATAACAAATAACATGACCGATTTCAATAATTTCATCACTGTTATAAGAAAAATATAGACAAGACAAAACAGAAAATAAATGAAAAATAAAGTTGATCCAAATTTGAAACGAAGATGTGCAGAAGAGACATAAATATAATGGGCTAAATATATACATGAATAAACATATATACTTTCAGTCTTTCACAAAGTTTTGTTCATGTAACTTTAAAAAAATAAAAAAAATGTCTTGTTCATGTAAGAGATAATTGAAGAAGATGAGAGACTGAGAGAGGAAGTGAGAGAAAATAAATTTTTGGTGTAATACTCTTTTTGTCTGTAGTTGTTTTTTTATTTTTTCAAAATTTTACTTTTAAACTTCTAAAATTAGTAAATTACATTAGGTACTCCATTTATCTTAAAAATAAAATTACAAAATATATCTCACCGTGTCCCTCGTGTGTTCGAGTCGTGTCCACCCCGTATCATCCGCGTGTTTGAGCCGTGTCCACCCCGTGTCTAATAAAAAATAATTTCTGAACACTTCACAGAAGTGTCGGACACGTGTCCGAGCCCGGACACGCGTGTCCGTGTCCGAAAAGTGTCTGACACTGATATGGGATCCCTGGGAGAAGTGTCCGTGCTTCATAGATGTTATATGAGAAATGGTAGTTTCGGCATTTGTACAACTTTGATTAATTTATTTAATTTTTTTAAAGTCTTGATAACATCAACTTCAATTAATTTTATGGGCAAATTGCGAAAAACCCTTAGGAATATTTTTGGCAAAAAAACTCTCTTCAACTATCCCAAGGGGTGTTTTTAACTTATATTCGTTTAAGTGATTATTTGATGAAATTTTTTCAATGAAATACCCCTTAACAAATTATTCTTCAGATAATTTATTATTATTTTTTTTCACTTTTCTTTCTCTCTTTGTCAAGCAAGGTAGGTAAAACAGCAAAGAAAAATTATCAAAAAAAAGAAAGAAATGGAAAGTCAATAAAATCATATTTAAGTTATGTATAATTAATAAAATAAAATTGAGTACAACAGCACATAAGACAGAAACTCCACCATGGCGTTAGAATAGAAGGTGGGAAAATTAAGCAACTCAAAAACTCCTTCAGTGCACTTATCTTTAGTAGCCATTATTGTAACACCCCTAAAATTAAAAAAGATAAAATTAGGATTTAAATTTCTTTCTATGTGCATTTTTGTCTATTGATTTTGTGATTGTATGTTTATGTGTCAAATTGTTATTTTATTTAATTATTGTATTTAAATAGCTTGTTGTCTTTAATTGTAATTTTGTTTTTCTGTAATTATTAATTATTTTTCTAGCATATCATAACTGTTTTAATAAATTAAGTAAGTGTGTGATTATCATCTAGGGTTTTGTTTTAATTCGTTTGAGATTTATGTTGGGCCGACTAGGGTTAATTGGAATTAGGTTTTGAGTAAAGACTATAAATATATATTATACGTCTCCCTAGGGTTTGATAACCCTATTCACGGCACAGTGAAAATACAGAGAGTTTTGAGAGAAACTGAGAGATAATTGGGAGTTTTTGGTCAAGGATTGTAGGCTGGACCAAGGAGGAAGGTTAAGAGATGTTTGTGGGCTAAACCAAGGGTGGCAGAGGAGGTTCAATGGAACTAATGTCGCCGGAAAAACCTAGGAAGAAGATGGTGAAAGGTTTCAGATCAAAAACCTTTAAAGAGGCAAGTTTCTTTCCTTTCTCCTTCTCTTTGGCTTGTGTTCAGTGCACCTGGAGAGTCTCTAGTGTTTAAGTAATTATGAATTGGAACGTACATGCTTAATATATGTTTTATTGATGGTCTTTACGTGTAAAAAAAATCAATTCTGTTTAATGCTTGCAAGTTTTGTTTCAGTTTTCTGTTTTAAGCATGTTATGTTGTTAGCAATTTTTAGTTTCTGTAATTGTTTTTAACCTCTGTAAATAATTCATGGGGATGATTATGGGGTGTTATAGGACTCTTAAGATCAGTAGTGAAGAGTAACAGAGGGGTTGGAATAGAATTGTCATTGCAAAATAGTTTCAGTGTTATCTCTAAAGCAGGTCTAGTTCGTGGCAAATTTGATCTATGTAATTGATTCAAATGGTTGTAATCAAACCTTTGGAATGCTAGTGGATATTAATAAGCCCCTTAGGATTAGTTTTAGAAACCAACTGAAGGGTAGAAATAAGCCGGAGAAGAAGCAGAAGGACGGAACTGAATCAGAAACGGACTGAAGCTCTCACAGGGGGAGAGAGAGCCGGCTCCATGGAAGGAGGAGCTGGCTCCCCCATGAGTAGAGGCTGCTCTAGGAGGGTAGAGCCGGCTCTACCCCAGCAAGAGGCTGCTCTAAGTCCCTTTAGAGCCGGCTCTAGGTTATTTTGGAGCCTGCTCTTCCATTTTAGGAGCAGGCTTTTCCACGGGTGTATTTTCAGAATTTTTTGGGTGTTGTTTGGATTGTTTTATGTGTTTCTAAACTATACTGGGAGTATATTGGGGTTCTTAACTTAATGATTAAGTGTTAAATGGATCATTTGTGGCATGGTTTATGGCTCGGTGCTAAAACAATAAAACAGTTTTCAAGTAAGCAACTTAGCATGCCATTGACGGATAAAAGGAACTGTTTTGCTATGATTAATTTTTTAGCAATTTCTTGGACAATATTATGATTGTAAAACTTATTTTAAATGCATGGTGAAGTCAATGATTTATCATAATTGATCTTTACATACGCTGGATGTTAATTGTTGGATTATTAAATCGGTTCCCGCAACTATGTGGTTATAAGCTTGGATTTGAATTGCTGAATGCTAAACATAGTTCTGCAATTATTTGAATATTGGTTTGGACTGTGAATTGCTAAACTTTAATTTATATGTTGTAATTTACATGGTTTTGGATGTTAATTGTGAAATCGTATATATTATTCTACAATTAACTGGATGATGGTTTTGAATTGAAATTGCTGAAGTATTATATGAACTATTCTGCAATTACCTAGCTTTTGGTTTTGGATATTAAATTGCTATACTATTTATCATAGTCTGTAATTTTTACATGGTTTTGGATTTTAATTGCTGAATTAATATATATTATGTCAATTACATGGATATAGAGGATTGTATGCACCGGTATGGGACGGTGTCATACTAGGGATGGTTTAGCTCAAAACGCATAAACCTAACCTATTGGATTAAAGGAAATGATTGTAAAATATTGAATCCTAATTTCGTTTAAGTCAGATCAATTGAGTAAGTTGTGAGACTATCTGGATTAATTAATGTTTGTGGTTGAGGTCAGATCAACTGAGTAGGTTGAGTGACCATTTGGATTTACTGTTGTTTGGAGTTAACTCATATCAACTGAATAAGTTGAGTGGTTAACTGATTATACGTTTTATGTCAGATCAACAAAGAATTGAATGACATACTCTGGTTTGGACGGATTTTAAATATATGATTATGGTACCACGATATGAGCTTGAGTCTCAGACTCGTTGGTTAGGGTGCGTATATGCAGTGGATGCGTAGCTGGTTATAGTAGGTTGAGGTGTACCATGTTAGGTCTAGGTACTCATACCCACCTTTGGGTGCATTTTTGCATGTTGCCTTCTATTCAGGTTGAGACCCCCTACATAGTCCAGTGAATGTCCCTTAGTGTGGATATTTATATATGTATGGATTAGATAGCTATTGCTGAGATATCTAGGGTGTATCTGCGTATCGGGTCACTGTATAGATTGTAGTTAGGATAGAACTTGCATGTGGGCCTGACCCACTTTTATTTTTACAGGTGTTCGTCAGTTCCAGGCTTAGAGCTTGATCGTGCTGAGCAGATACAGTTATTCACTCCACCGACGACGTAGGAGTATTTCTTCTCGTTATGAGCATTGGATTTCTTTGCAATTGTTCATATTCAGTATTGGAATTTTTAGTAGGGGTCCACGAGATGGATTCCCGAGTTGTATTAGATGTAAAAGAAAAGTGGGTGTATTCAAACTAGTTCTTGTATATAAAGTTTATTCGGAGGTTTTTCTATTAAAGGATTTTCATTTTAGTTCTTTTCAACAAAATTTTATTCATTCCTATTTTCTGTATTATATTCTGTGTTCGTTAAATTGCTAATTGATTTTGATATCCTCGGGTTGTCGGGCGTGGGTCTGACCAACCCGCATCCAGAAATTCGGGGGTATCACAATTATAACGTACAATTATTAATAATTTGGCATGTTTCCTTTGTTAATTGAATTATGTTACTGCAAGGTGAGTGGACTAAAATTGGCAATTAAAAAGCAACATAATTTCTTTTCTTTATTTCAAATCCGATTTTTGTAAAATAAAAAATAAAAAATTTCTTACTTTGTGAACACGAAATACCCCAAAATAACTTTTTGAGATGAAATTGTTATAATTGATGTACTCAAGTTAAAGACCTAAAACTATGAACGCTTTTAGTGTGAAAGAACATCGTTGCCCTCTATTTAATTCACAAGAATCTAATTATAAAGGACATTTAAGTTATGTAGTTTGAGAGTAATGCATTTATTATCTCATCATATATTGTTTGATTCCACCACCTACTACTTGAAAATTGTT